AAGTAATTAATTAACTTTAGTTCCATACATTTGTTAAATCCTCAGCTAGCATTATATACAGATGACCTTAGTACTGAAATAGCAAATTTTCACGTTTATTAAACACGGATCTTTCACATTCAAAACGTATAAAACCAAACATTCTCCGAAGGTCAATATAATGTAATCTAGAACCATTAGCAAATGCATAGGTTAAATTCTATTCTTTCCTTCTTGTAAGTGTCTGTGGTCACATGGGAACACGTGGATATTGCATGTATCCCAGCGGTACTCCAAAGTGTATATCACAGAACTAAAGGTAGAAGAAAATATCTGATAAAGCATAATCTTGAAAAATAAAGATTTTTTTTTTTAATAACACCAGAATCTTGCCCTTCTCCCATCTCAGGTACTTTTTATCAACAGGAAGAGAAAAATTATTAGCAAACAAGAAGACCTAGGTTGTCTCAGCATGCGCAGTTTAATATTATATATATAAAACTTTTAATGTGCGAATGATCATCTCATCCTTTAAAAGTAGTGAGACTCGATGTAACAGAAATAACGTGTAAACTGCCTGAATGATACTGCGGCTTCTGCGCAAGCCATATAACTGCAATGCATAATTATATCTGTCATTGACAAAATAAAAAATAAAGAATTATAAAAAAAAAAAAAGTAGTGAGACTAAGGCTATCTACTGTAATGGAAATATTTTCTTGTTTCAAAATGTATTACATAAATAAAGCATTAAAAAATAAGTGGTAAATCCACCATTGTCGTGTCTCTATGTCTTTAATAATCCACGACCAACCACATTTTGACGGTTTTATCTGGCTACTTTGTAACAGTACTAAACGATTGTGCAGGAGATAAGAGTTTCAAACATACAATAAAAAAATATACATATTTATTTCAAAAGTCAACTTATATCAGAAGTGTATTTCAATAAAAAAAAAAATGAAATTCACTTTAGATTCTGAGAACTTACACTTCATAGTGAATAACCACGAGTTCGCATTAACAAACAGGAAATACAATTGTTAGTTCTAATGAAACACTTTTTAAATTATTATTATTACTTCTGGGGGAACATTGTATCTAACAAAATGGTATGACACTCTAGTGTTAGGAATACATGTTCCTTTGCATTTATTTATATGGCGCCAGCATATTCCGTAGTGCTGTGCAGTATGTAAACAACACAAACACTTCATTCTAACAAAACATGGGTGACATACTGGAATGGTAGGTGAGGGGGGCCGGCCCTAACAAGCTTACACTTTTAGAGTGTTCCTTTAACATCCACAAAAAGGATACATGCTCCATCATTTTTATTATAGACGTACCTCAAAAACCTCTTCTGTTTTTTGAAGTTGTCATGGTGGTAGGAGTCTTGATGTGCAGTGTTTGAGCTTGAAACTCTGCACATCCAGAGTTATTTTTAATTGTGTGCCAGTGCTAGTTAGAGCCCTGACACACGTTACTTAGGCAGCCCAGAACTCTGCCTAATGTTAATTCTGTGCATATTTTATGTCTGCCGTCGGCACGCACTGCACTCTGGCAACAGACATTATCTGGCACTATAGTGGTCCTTCAAGCATTTTTGGGGAAGAGGGGGTGGGGAGACCTACAAAATAATTCCAATAGGGCATTATTCAAATGTTACCACATATTAGGACATTCACTTTTAAATATTTTGTAATAAAGGTTTATATTTTTACAACAATATATGCAGTGCTTTTATATTGCATACATGCAAGACAAATTGTATATGGAGATACATACATCAAATGCACAAAAAGAGTATAAACAAAACAAAAAAAAGTTTAGTTTATGGTAACAACAGTACAATTACTTTACTATATCGTTTTTTTCCTTGTGTAGTTAACAGTTAACTTTTTGGACTGAAAAAAATTTTTTAAAGAAATTAGACATTCTATTGGTAAATAGCTTTGCCTACTTACAGTTTCACATTACATTCATTATTTAATGTTGATAATAAAATTATCTACTGTTTTCAACCTCTATCTATTAACCCCTTCCATGCACAATAATTGTAATTTCCAGGAACTGCCCTGTCCCAGGAGAGAGGGTAAAAGTGTGGAGGAAGAAATGCAGCGGACACTTCACACAGTGATGGGTTAACTTTAATCTCAGTCTGTACAGGAGGAGGAGAGATATTTTTGCACAAGGAAAAAAAAAAACAGGATGAGATGTTATCTGTCCATGGCCTATATAAACAGATGTCATAAGGGGTTATCTGCACATGTCTGGATTATGTTAGATTTAGAGTGTGGCCTTGCTCAGTTTAGAAATAAGGTCCCAACACCTTTACGCCTAAAACTCATCATTTCACCTGAGTCAGAAGCAAAACAGAAGTGTCAAATTATTGCCTCTTATTTAATATTCTTTGCAGAATTTATGGCTAAGGTAAATATTAAACTGGATATTTTATGGTTTATTCACACGTGTAAATTGTCACTACTTTAACTTTAAATATTAGTCACAATACTCAACATGGAAAATCTCTCCAAGTAGTGGTTATGGTGCCGGAAGTGCCCTTCTCCCCCGGCCCCCTTCCTATGTAGGTAGGTTATATAGATTTGAATTCTTACATGGGGCTATTTCCGGCCTCCTCTCCTCCACTCTGGAGAGCAAGAAGCTCTCTACAGATAGATTTCCTGAGTTATGTCCTGCAATGCAGATAAGCTGATCACTCACAGCCAAGTATTTAAGCCCTCCACTGCCAGGCTATGCTCAGAGAGAAAGTTTCTGGCTCTTTGAGAGGCAGTGAGCTGCTCCCAGCAGACACCATTCTAAAAAAAGTTTGATTACTTACAATGGATGGCTCCAGGACGCTGCAGTAGTTTTGGTGATTGAAGTCTTCTTTAATAGATAACTTACATATCCTGGATATCGCTTCAAAGAACACTCTAACATTAGGAATGCAAACGTGTATTTCTAACGTTTCAGAGTTAGGCTTCCTATGAAGAGTAAGGCCCCCCAGAAGTCATAAAATAATATGTTTATATCTACCTATAGTCCCCTCTCTCGTCACAGCCACCACTCATCCCCAGCTGATGTTGTCAATGATGAGGAAAGCTTTAGAGGAGCTATTGTGCAACTTCTCATAGACATTCAGTGGCTCAATGTGTTTGGCATCTCCATGCAGAACAATGAAGGACCTCTATTGCTGGACCACAATCAGGAAACTGCTCGTCAGTGTGACAGCCACTAGATGTGGCGTTAGGCAGCAGTGTAAACACTTCTGATAAGAAAAAAAAAAAAGACTACACTGATAATGTATCCATACTTTCTACCTACACCTAAAAAGCAACCCAAAAAAATCATATAATCAGTGGAGCGGTTCAAAAATCTTAAAGGATCACTACGGTGTCAGGAAAACAAAGTGGTCTATGGGTCCCCTTCCCTTGGCACTGAAGGGGTTAAAACCCATTCTGTAGCTTACTTTTATCCAGCGCCGGGCTCCCTCGGCGCTGGTGACCTCCCCCCCCCCCGCCGACGTCAGCTCCCTCTGCCAACGTCAGCGGAGCCGAATGCTCATGCACGGCAAGTGCCGTGCACGCATTCAAGCTGTCAATAGTCATAATATGCCTCCAGCGTCGCAGATGCACCTCTAGTGGCTGTCCGGAAGACACCCACTAGAGGCTGGCTTAACCCCAAATGTAAATATAGCAGTTTCTCTGAAACTGCTATGTTTGCATCTGAAGGGTTAAAACCTGGGGGAACTGGCACCCAGACTACTTCATTGAGCTGAAGTGGTCTGGGTGACTATAATGTCCCTTTAATATATATATTTAAACCATGAAAACCATCCTTTCTTCAATTCCCCACCTACCATTAAAGCGCAAGAGTGCCACAGCAAAAACAGCTAATCATATAAAACTACAAAACTCTTATCACACAGTGCGAAGTGTTGTATCCCTGATTCCCCAATCAATTAAATAAATAGTCCAGACTAATTTTCATAAAACTTTATGGATCTTACAAAGTGTTCTAGCATATCCAGTCATTAATTACTTCAGCCACATCCTGAAGAGTCATCCAGCCTGATGATGGCTGAGGCTGAAGTAATTTATGGCTGGATGCACTAGAAATGAGGCTTGAAACACAGAGGCTAATTATCGGGTTGGTGAAAACGAGGCGTGGAACTCAAATCAAGATGGCGTGAAGGGGATTTAAATATAGGATTTCAGAGACACAAACTACTGACTGAGGAAGCTTGTAACAGGTGAAACGTGTTTTAGTTACCGAGATCTCGGTTTTGTTTTAATAAGTTGGGGTTTTTATTGGTTTTTTTTATGTTTGTTATTTCAAATAAAGGAAGTGTGAACATTGCATTTTCTCACAGCAGGGACACTCTTTTTGCCCAAGAACCACTTTTACAATAAACTGTAGTAATTCTGGTGCTTAAAGTGAGCTTATAAAACAAAAGAAATCCTAATGCATCATTCCAGGTAAAAAATATTTTCTTAATACTAACAAATATACTATATTTCTACTATAAGAGAACAGTTGTGCAAAGCAAATTGCATGTCACCTAACTAAACTAAAAATATAATATCCGTTTTGGAATATTAAAGTGTTACTCAAACCAAAAAAAAAGCAGTGTTTTAAGAGCATTGTGCTATGGTAAGACAATGGACTAGCTTAATTAATGGCTGAGATTTTCCTTTGGTAGCAGGTAGAAACATAGAAACAAGAGAAACATAGAAACATAGAATGTGACGACAGATAAGAACCATTCGGCCCATCTAGTCTGCCCAATTTTCTAAATACTTTCATTAGTCCCTAGCCTTATCTTATAGTTAGGATAGCCTTATGCCTATCCCACGCATGCTTAAACTCCTTTACTAAGTTAACCTCTACCACTTCAGCTGGAAGGCTATTCCATGCATCCACTACCCTCTCAGTAACTGAAGTTTTAAGACAAAGTAGCAAATTCCTTGTAGTAAAATAATCAAACAACTTAGCTTTTTAGAGAAGGTAGTAGAATAGTCAGAGTCCGTTCCGTGTCCAGGGAGTATAGAGTTCAGAAAAGTTGGTTTGGAAGATCAAAGGTTCGGTACACAGGTAGATATCACAGGGAGATCGGATGGCACTTAGAAACAATTTGCTACAAATTGACTGAGCAATTTCAGAGCAGCCGCGGCTTCCCTTTAACGTGGCAGCGTCTGACTTCAGACTCATGGGCGGGGTCCGATTGGCGAAACCCATAAGTGACTCCAAAGGAGTTCGCCGATTGGTAATGATGATAATCTCTGATCCGAGCACTGATGTTGGCAAAATAGCGTCCAGATCCATAAAGAATTGACTAGTCACAACAGGAGTAAAGTTTTGACTGGCCGCACACAAAGTTCATGCACCAAAAGAGTTCTAGGAGAATTAGGGCTTTGGCCGGTCAAATGTCGGTAGTTCCTGTGAACAAAATAAGGGGCGCTCCCCCAGGGAGCGATTGTTTCACTTAGTCAGAGGCACCTTCCCTCCAATAAACGCTCTTATAGCTAATAGGGAAGTAGGAGAAAATCAGGGTGAAAGTTGGCCGGGAGTTGAGGTTAGCCATGGCCGGACCGGAGTTCCAGAAGAGTTGTGAGTAATTCCCGCTGAAGTCTTTGCGGCTTTCTGGACTCCAGTTACAGTCAAGGAAAAGAGTGCTCATAGTTAATTGGCCTGGAGGGGAAGTCTGTTGGTGAAATAAGTCTGTTGGTGAAAATACAGGGAATAAAACAAAGGATAAACATGATGGTGAGGGCTGCTCCTGGTATGGGCACAAATGACTGAGTGTTCCGTCACACACACATACTTACATTCATGAAAATACATACATTGGTATATACATACCCATTGGGACATATACACAGAAACACACTGTGATATATATACACACACAGACTAATACGCAAATCACTGGGTTGAGCATCTAAAGGGAGACTTCCTTCTTCTTATTGTTTATTAGTTTTATTTCTTTTGATGAAATAAATGTTTATTTTGGCATCAATATTGAATGGAGTAAGGAGTGCTTACCTTTACAACCCTAGCGGAGAGCAGCAAACTTCATCCATTTGGGACTACACCTGTTTCATTTGATGTGCCTACTACTTTTATTGATCTTGTAAGTACTTGTATTAAAGCGCAATATTTTTATATAGCAATTTTGCTCTTTTATCGCTGAAGACACATTGATTTTATGATGTGCCTACAATCAAATTAGTGTGAGCATATAATTCACACTTTTTGGTTTTATGGTGTATGTACGATACTATTCCATTAATTTTATTTTATTCCACTCTAGATACTTTGTTTTTTTTCTAATTGTTACACCACCCTGGTTTTGTTTTTTTCAAAAGATAATGAACAACACGCTGAGCTAACAAGTGTGAAAGGGCAGTCTACGAAAGTATCCTCAAGTTAGTGGTATCAACAAGGCATAAGGAGTAGGAAGATAAGGCTCAGTGGAGCAGGCTGGGCATGCCCACCACGTACAAACAGAAAAAAAGCCTAAAATCAATAATAGCACTTCCAGACATGTTCAAGGTAGAAGAGCTACGGAGAAAGTAGTGGCATAACACACATCAATGGAGACAAAAATGCCGCTGGTTGAGAGTAATAGAACAAAAAACATAAAATAAGCATTTAACACCAAACACTGTAGTGCTAGGGGATGGATACTTGTGTAAACTTGCTGCTTAGTCTGCTCAACCTATGCCACAGGACAGTCATAAGAGTCCGTCTCAGTGTCGAGAACAGATTCACCCAATGTCCCCTGCAAGTAGTGGGGATAGGCATCACATCCATTCCCACAGTTCAGTGTGTCACCCCAGGTTTTCTCATTACCTCTGGCACAGGCCAGAAAGGGAGCCAGTGTCTCCTGTCCAAGGGTCCTCTTGATCCATGCTGAAGGACCACAGGTCTGCGGGGCCTTTGGCGCACCCCACGGGTGTATGAACAGCTGGGTGGATATGGCTTTACCTGGGATGCCAGCCCTGAAGAGGGACAGCGAGCTGGAGTGGTCAGATGAAGAAGAGGTGTGCAAGCAACAGGCAACACGAGTCCAGAAATCCTGGCATATCTTGTCAAATCAGGCCTCAAAGCGTTGCACCCAATCCAGGCTCTCAGGGCTTGCTTACCCCATTGAAGGCTGTGGTGTGGCGGCCAACTTAAATCATCACAAGGTCTCAGGAGCGGCAGATGTTGAGTTTGCCACCAGAGTGTTTCCCCCACCGGTCCAAGGGCGGTGGTAACGGGGCTTCAGTATATGCTCTTTGTAATGCACGGTGCCAGGCGGGAGATTGGGTACTTCTCCCAGCCGATGGGCCGGCAATTCTGGTAGGCCGCAGGACCAGACGGTAGATTACGCTTGCGGAAATGTTTTTTCGGTGTCCCCTTTAATAGAGGCGTCTTTTGCGCTTGATTCTGAGCTGTATTAAACGGTTTATAGATAATATTATCTGATTTAAGACGTGGCCTTGTAGGAGCTCCTAGAAAGCATGTCTTGCTTGAGAGTCAGGCCTTACCCCCATTTTCTAAATCTTTAATATAATATTTTAAAGAAAGTTGAGCATCTTATGAAAAAAAGGTTAACACAAGTTATACTAGATTTTCAACGTATTATTTAAAAATTTCTAGAAAAGTGACAGTTGCCCTTTAAGCCAGCTAAAGTGTTAGAAAATGATAACATCTTGTCAAATAAGTAGATAGCTGCAGACAAATGGCTGGATACCTTTTGAGCACAGGAAGCTAATTAATTATTAAATTTATCTTAATTAGTTCAGTGTGGACATGTTGTATAAGGGCTGGATATGAATAAAAAGGAACAGGTTTGTAAAATAGATGTTTAACATTGCAGGGATTATTAACAAATTGGGGAGTAATGGTGAATTACAATATTGAAGCTAAAAATCACAGCATGATATTGATAAGGGTGGGTCTATTTAATAATGCCCTTAAAGGAACATTGCAAGAACATTAACCACTACAGCTTACTGTAGTGGTTATGGTGCCAGAAGTGTCCTGACAACCCCATCCCCAATGTAAGTCACCAAACCATTTTGGAATGTTCAGACTTCTTACTGGGGGACTGCCTCCACTGCTAATGACAGAGAAAGGTAAGATTGAGGTGACAAAGCCACTTTAAGTACAAGTCTGTTTGGTATATTAATACTAGGTATTCACGTTTTTTTCTCTTTTTGTAAATCTCCACCAAAGTCTAATTGACCATCTGCTTAAAGGGCAAAAGAGCATTACCAGCCCCGTTCCACTTAACCGTCTCTTTTTCTCCCTGCTGATGAAGAGAAGCTTTTAGCTCTCTCACATTGTTCTACCATGATTTATGATTCCAAATGCACCATTATTTCTTATTGCTTCCTTAAGAAACACAGCAGTTCATCTTCTGAGACCCTGAAACAGGAATGTTCAAAGGGTTAATGAACCAGTGAATGGTGGAGTAGCCCTTGTAAAAGCTTTCCGTAAGACAACAGAAAACTGAGAATGTTTGTTTAACCCTTTTGTCTCTAAAGAAAAAAGTTCTGGAAGACTAGTAATAAATGGTTTGGCATCAAGCCTCTTACCTAAAGAGGAATACTCACAGTGCTTAATTTAATCGACAACTAATAGATAGTCAGAAAAACAACAGACAGTCGTAAATATCCTTTATATACATCTGCCTAGGTGTCATTGTCCACCGGGTGCAGGCCAAAGGCACCTTAGCTCACTACAGATCAAAGGACTGCATCCCAGGGGTGCAATAGGACTTCTACAGTATCGCTAGTCTATCATTTTTAAATAAAGCTCAAGGTTCCATTCTGGCATGTAAAGGGCAAAACCCACACAACTTGATCCAAATATACAGAAAATGAATGTGGCATATAACCAGTCCTTAGAGTGGCCTGGGTTTAACACAAAGCCTGTAGTAAGGCCAATGTCAGGGAATCCAGAAATACACAGAAACGGAATGACAGGCCAGGTCAAGGAGTACAGAGATCAGGGAAGTGAAAGTAGCATATACCAGAAATTTCACAGTGAACAAAAGACGTGCTATCGGGAATCATAATGAGACCCCAACAGGAGAATGTGACCAGGCTTTTATAGATCTGGCATCTTTGGCCAGTCCTACACCATTCCTGCGTGCCCAGATGGTACGTGTGTGTAGATGCTGGAATGATGCTGGACTGGTTGCACCCAAATTTCAACGCTGTATTGTTTCACAATAAAAAGGCGCAGAGGAACAGCGTACTACGCTCTAATTAATACCAGAAGGAGCAAGGATCTGAAGCATTGCTCCTTAGTAATTTGCTCAGCATCAAGATTAACGCGAAAAGATTAACGAGAAAAGAATACACTCGGCGTCAAACCTGACACAAACAGGGTGCGGAGAGCTGTAAGAGGAACAAAGACGCACAGGTAACTTTGCAAATCTCATCCAAGAGGTGAGTCTGTGTAGATGCATCGGTTGCAAAGCACCCATGGGACTTACCTCACCCAAATATTAACCCAATCACGTAACCAGCGACATACCTAAAGGCTGCTATTTTAACTACCTTTTTCCACTAGCACATTAAACATAACAGTTCCCTACCCAGTAATCCACCAAGTACCTTACTAACCCATTGTCAGGGTAACTGCCATGCTTACCTGGGTTGGGGAATGTTTTCAAGAGGAGAGGGATCCTCTCCTCAGTCCTAGGCTTCCGTCCAGCGGTTCCAACGCCGGCCGTCGTGGCTCCGCCCCTTTTAATGAAGCAGCACACGAGCACCGATGTCATGACGCAAATGACGTCACGGCCCGCCAGGGTTAGGGGTAGGGTTAGGGAAACGAATTTCAGAAGTGCCGAATTGCCGAAGTCACGAATTTCAGAAGTGCCGAACCGAACCAAATTTTTTGCCCATGCATATCCCTAAAACATGCCTTTTTGACAAGTCCCAAATACGTTTTCTAGGCTACGTAATAACAGGAGAAGGGTTTGAAATGGATCTCAAGAAATTGGATTCCATAATCAAATGGCCATTACCTGATGGACTAAAAGCTATACAGAGACTTATAGGCTTCTCGAATTAATATAGAAGCTTTATTAAAGGTTTTTCGTCTATTGTTGCTCCTATAACAAGGTGTAAATCCCAAAAAGTGGTCTAATGATGCCTTGAAGGCTTTCAATTGTCTTTTGCGTCTCCTCCTATACTTGTCCACCCTGATCCCAACCTTCCTTTCTTACTCGAGGTTGATGCATCAGAGACTGGTTTCTATTCTAAAAAGCCCTCTGTCACAGAAAGAAGATATGAAATAGGAGATAGGGAACTTCTTGCTATCATTTTGGCCTTAAAGGAGTGGTGTCACCTTTTAGAAGGTACCATACACCCTGTAACTATTTTAAAGGATAATAAAAAATCATTCCTATATTGAAGAAGCCAAACCTTTGTCAGCTAGGCATGGTCGTTTGTCCCTTTTGGCTAGGTTCAATTTCATTCTCTCTTATTGACCAGGATCTAAAAACTCGAAAGCAGATGCATTATACCGACAGTTCGAACCTCTTGTGGGTCCTGAGCTGAAGGTTTCCTCTGTTGTTCCCATACAACGCATCATAGACAAAACCAGAACCAGTATCCAGTCTCCTCTTGTTTCAGATACTATAGCTAAGCAAACCTTGGCTCCACGAAATATCCCTGATGGCAAATTGTATGTCACTCCTGAACACCAGAGGGACATAGGTCTTTACCATCATGACAGCAAGATAGTGGGACATCCTGGTATACGCAAAAGCTACGAATTGATTGCTAAGGGGTTTTGGTGGCCGTCCTTACGAAAGGATATTAAAGACTATGTTTTGGCCTGCTGTGTCTGTGCTAAAATCAACCTTTCCCATATCCTTCCTTGTGGTCTACTTCAACCGCTTGACATTGTATAGTATTGGAATTGACTTCATTTTCAATCTACCCATATATGAGAAGAAAACAGTGATCTTGACTGTAGTGGACAAGTTTACCAAAATGGCACATTTTATCTCTTTGCCCAAATTTCCCTCTTCTCCTGAATTGGCCACTATCTTTGCCAAAGAGATTTTTCGTATTCATGGTTTACCTAAGGAAATAATCTCTGACAGAGGCTCCCAATTTATATGCCGATTCTGGAGGGCCTTTTGTTCCCAGATGGGGATTGCTCTTTATTTCTCATCAGCTTATTATCCATAATCCAACGGGCATCAAAGAGGACTTATCAAAAAATTGAACAGTACCTAAGATGTTTTGTATCCGCTCATCAGGATTATTGGGTTGGCTTACTTCCATGAGCTGAGTTTGAGCTGAACAGCACGGTTGCTAATGCCGAACAACATAGCCTTTTCTTCATGAATTAAGGTTTTCATCCTGTTGTTCTCCCATCGGAATTAACTTCACAAGGAATTTCCGATGGTTGACGAACATACCGAGAACCTGAGGAAAACCTGGGAACATGCTCAATAACTCCTGATTCATAAAACCTCTCTAGATAAGATATATGCCGATAAACGTAGGCTTGCTGCTCCTTTTTTTTCTGCGGGTGATAAGGTCTGGCTCAGTACTAAACATATTCGCCTAAAAGTTTTTTCTATGAAGTTTGCTCCTAGGTTTGTAGGTTTATGCATCCCCAAAGTGTTCCAAACCCTTGACTTGTAATAGATACACCTGTCAGATTATTATTCCTCCTTCTTCTGTTTAAGTGGAAGGGCAAGAAGAGGATGATGCCTCTGATGTCATGGCCCGCCAAAATGTCAGAATTTGAACATTTTAGGGGCATGGCTTCAAAATTAAAGAACCAGAATATAGAAGGCTGGTTCACCGATAGCACGCTATATTCTAGTATTGTATTCTTGGTTTTGACTTTGGCATGTTTTATCACTCTTCCTTCTGTTACCCTTTGACTTGGCTTTTGTACCCTCACTGTTCTTGACTTCTGGCTCCCCTGACCTCGGGTTGTCCCTGTTTACTCTCTGTCCTTGTGACGTCAACCCAGCCATTCTAAGGTCCAGTACACGTGACTATTCTATTATAGACGTGCATATACGGCCAAATTTCGGAAATTCAGAAATTCAGATGCTTCCGAATATATCCCAAGTGCCGAATTTCCGAAGTGCCAAATTTCGGAATGCCAAACCGAATTGATGAATTTCCGAAGTGCCAAATTTGAAAAGTGGCAAAACAGGAGAGGGTTGGGGTTAGGGGTTGGGGTAGGGGTAGGGTTAGTGGTTGGGGTAGGGTTAGGGGTAGGGTTAGTGGTTGGAGCAGAGTTAGGGTAGGGTAACCCTAACCCTATTCCTAACCCTACCCTTAACCCTACCACTAGCCCTACCCTAACCCAACCCCTACCCCTATTCTAACCCTACCCTAACCCTACTCCTAACCTAACCCTACCCTACCCCTACCACTAGCCCAACCCCTAACCCTACCTCTAACCCTACCCTAATCCTACCCCTAAGCTAACACTACCCTTAACCCTACCCTAACCCTACCCTAACCCTACTCCTAAACCAACTCTAACCCTACTCTAACCCTACCCCTAACCTAACCCTACGCCTAACCCTACCCTAACCCTAACCTAACCCTACACTTACCACAAGTCCCGAACTTTCGAAGTGCCGAAGTTCCGAACCGAAGTGCCGAAGTCTTGAATTTCGGAATGCCGAACCGAATATTTTTCCCATGTACATCCTTATTCTATTACACTCTGTGTACAGGGAGGTACAGCTCATACTCCTGTAAGAGGCCTAGGCCTAATTAACGAGTTGTTAATGCACGGTTGACTGTCTACTCAGGCACTTTGGACATGGAATGAAGGACCAGAAGTAGTCAGGGGCCCATCCGTGATTCTGTAGTAATTGGCCAGTTAAACAAATCAGCAGACCTCCCTAACTGGCTTGGCACCATTTTATTTATTGAATTTAATCTCTTTTACAGGGAACTCTCAGCTAGCTCAGTATGGTGGGTAGAGGGGTGGTGGAAAGAAGCGTTACATCCAATCCCTTGCCCCTCCACAAACTAAAACTGCATGGGAACGAGAGTGCAGACTTCTCTAAAACATGATTACAGCACTACGAGAGTACGGAAAGTAAACTGGGTGGCAAAAACACACAAGTGAGGAAAGGTATGTGTCATTTAGAAGGAAAACATTAAGTTGATGGAGAGACATGTAAGGAGTGAAGTGATAGATGAAAGTTGGTGGCATATGAGAAACGAAGCTTAGCAGAGGAAGGGACATTTTTGGAGAGAGATAGGTGAATGGGTATGCAAATAGTGAGGATGGGTAGATATGAAGTGGAAGAAAAAGCTCACAGTGTTCAATATAAATACACCACATTCACACACACACACACACACAGTGCCACAGCTACAAAGATAACCCTGCATTCACACACACTGAGATGCATATCAAATACATGCATCACACACACTACATGCCCTTTACATATACTCCTGCATTCATATACACATAATCTCATCCCAAATAGCTCTGACTTTTATGTGCATATATTTCACACGTACAATATGGAGTTTATCTACTGAAGTGAGAATTGTAGAAAAATGACAAAGGAATTGCATGTTTTAGCCCAAACTGGAAACCTCATTTAATTTTCCAGCTCAGTTATTTTGGCCTAAAAGTTTCACTTCCTTGTCAGTCTTTCAAAATTTAGTGTTAAACAAGTATTGTAGTGAAGACACAAGCTACAGCCCCAAGTTCTCCCCAAACACACACAATAATAATTACTCTTAAACAGTGAATGCACTGATGAGAATCTTACTTAAAATGCACTTTTACTTTCATATTAAGTAGCAGTAAATGAGAAAAAATTAAATTAAGTTGGTGGGATGGGGTGGGCCGAGACTCAATGGCTGAGCCCTCAGACCCAGGCATTGAGCTGTGTAAGGAGCTATAATAGCCAGCACCCGGTCACATGCCCACTCCTACCTGCTTTCAAATTATAAGTAAAATGTTTTGAAATACAAAATGTAATCTCCCAACACATCATAGTTTAATGATTAACCCAGTGGTTCCCAAACCATTCCTCAAGGCACCCTGACCAGTCCAGGATTTAGGGATTACCAAGTTGTGTGTAAGGTGATTTTTTTCTTTCTAAAAACCCCTTAGACACAACTGGGTAATCCCTAAATCCTGGACTGGCTGGGGTGCCTTGAGGCCAAACAGCCTTTGGTGAGAAAAAAAAAATCTCAAATGCAGCTTTTGTAAAAGCCTATCTATTTATGCTTAAAGTTTCAAATCCCCTGTTCTATTCACGCCAGTTTCCAGTTTAGAGAATAACCTTGTCTGACACCCTCAAAGAACAGAATGAATGAAACCAGCATAAGAAAAAAGAAATGAGCATGGTAGCAAGGAGAGTCTATTTTCAATATCATCCTGGGATTTGCACAGTAATATATGACAATCCATTAATACCTTTAGTCCTGCATTTCTCGTTGAAAAATGCTGACGCCGCTTGGCGCCAGTGAGCATTACAGTTAATAGGGTTAATCCTCAGCAGCTGTGATCTCAAGCAAGTTACCTTCAAGCAGTAAAATATTCTGAGCATGACTTTATCTAAGGCATGGAATTTCAGACCACCAACAGTCTGACCCCCCCTTACCCCCCACCTTTACTCGCTAATTATCTAAAGTATGTATAAGGTTCTTTATTAAATGTAAATGATTTTATTGAAATTCCGGCACAGTCAAAAGATATAATAAAACAGAGTAGGGACTACATTGTCTTACAGTAAAGTTTGAGGTTGATAAAACTTGAGAATAGGTGGATTTCTGTCATCTTCTCCCTGCCGTTGCTAGCGGTGAGAATTAGTATGATAATAACGTAGAACACTGATTATTCTTCTCATAGAAAAGCATTGAATAACATTTTCTATGAAAGATATCCTATTGGCAGAGAATGATGTTTGGCGCGCATGTGCTGTAAGTCTCCAAAGCTCCTCTATGAAAATGATTGCATTGCACCAGATATCATTAGAATGATGATCTGAAAGCAAGTGGAGCTGCTGCTGCAACAAGACTGGAATTTTATAACTTTTTTATGTTTCCACGGGAATGGGGGCCTGAATCTAAATGTTAACATTACAAATTAATATATTTAAAATATTTGTTTTCCTTTAAGAAAGTAATTCTTAAAAATAGATTTCTGTTATAAATCTATTTTCTTCTCCTATTTTGTTTCTGTTTGTTTTTCACAGGTAAAACAAAATGATATTGTGTTAAAATGTTATCAGATTGTTATCAAGTCTTTGGATGCATTGGGCTGGGAGAAGAAGCACTTACGTGTTATTTAAATGACTACTAGCAGACAATATCTCTGACTGCCACAGCAGTTTCTGAGTAAATGATCATTTTTTTTAAACTTTTTGCAACAATTCACATCTCTGAATATACTTGATTTTATGTATTCTAGTAGAAAATGTGTGGTGAACACCTTCCTTCAACGCCATAATTACATTTAGCCTGTGCCATAACCACTGAGCCTATTGGAGGGTAACAGTGGAAGGACTCTATGGGCATAGCCACTCTGGTGTCATTGGGAGCATTTGTAATATCAGAAAGTCAGAAGGCCTTCTTGGCCACATCCGTGCACATATTTTAATTGCATAATGAAGAAGGTGAAACTGATATCTCAAACTGAGGGAGTGGGCATTGTTTTCCAGTGGTCTGTTGTTTGTCAAACAACTTAAAAAGATATTTATAAAGGCTGGGGGAACTGTATCCATAGAATACTTTCACCATATCTAATTCAATTATTTGTATTGGTTAAGATGCTTTTAGGGTCCTTTTAAAATTATTAACCTGAAGTTTGGATTTTAGCTTTTGTACTGTGTATCCTTGCTGGTGAGGCATTTTAATGGTTCACTGGTACACACGTGTCTTTGGTGTCACCGTACTTGTATTTAATACCTTGATGGTGAAAGCATAGGCGTTTGAGAAAAAAAGGCGAAATAAAAAACCATCATACCCGTCGAACTTAAAATAAAATAAAAAATCAGAGCGCAAAAAAAAAACTTGACGAAAAAGAAAAAAAACAGACGCTAAAAAAAATAATCCATCTTCACCCATGGAGGCCTCCACGCAGAGTTCTGCACGGCAGTGGAAGGCTTATAAAGCCTTGCCCCGCCCTGCAGTTAGGCTAAGAACACTCTGATTGGTTGGTTTAAGCCAATCAGAGTACAGTTTGTCATTTTACACAGCGTGGGAAAGTTCTTTGGAATTTTCCCACGCTGTGTAATTTGACTCATAACACTCTGATTGGTGGGCTTGGAATCTAACCAATCAGAGTGCTCTGTGTCATTTTACACAGCGTGGAGGGCCAGGGGGGGAGGACAGTAGGTCCCCCCCCCCTCATTGTTATGGAGAACCTCCACCTGCCGCGCAGGGGTGGGGGCTGTGGGGGGCAATAGGTTGTTTTTTTTACAGTGAGCAGCCACTGGCTGCTCACTGTTTACTAAACATGCCCCTACTCGCGGTATAGCGAGTAGGGGCAGAATTTACTAATACTACGTAATCTTTACTTAGTATTAGTAAATGAGGCTGAAAGACTAAATGAGGTCTTCCAGCCTTTTGGTAGATAGCTCCCTCATACCGTGGGGATTAGGGAGTTATCTACTAAGCGGCTGCAAGATGCAGCCGCGGCACGAATAGGAATCGGAGTTTCATTCATTCGAATGAAATTGCGATCCGAACAAAGACCCAGATTGCATTCTAACATGAATGGAGAAACTGTTCTCATTCTGTTAAGATGCAATTCGGCAGTTTTGCCGGCGCTCTGTCTAAGTGACAGGACGTTCGGCAATACTGACAAGAGACGTTGTGGGAACAGGGAGGAAAGCTAAGGATCATGGGAAAATTGCTCTGACCACCGGAAACGAAGCACACTTTTCTCCTCCACTGGTCATAGCTGGTCATGGCGTAGGAAACCTCCAGAAGAGAAATAGTCCCTACTTAATCTGAATTTTTAAAGAAAGCAGACAGGAAGAAATGAAGAACAGATCCTGAGAGAGGGAGAGAAGAGGACTCGATTGGGGAAAGGTAAGTTCGGCATGACAGTGCTGCTTTAATCGTAATGCTTTGGCTAGGAGTCTGCTCCCGAGGATGAAGTGTGACTCTCCTTTTGCACAAGGTTCATGGACCAGAATTTTTGAATTATGAATTTCACTGATTCTTTATTCTCTAGACAGCAAAAACACCTTAACGAAAACTCCAAGCCAGATAACCCCTCTATTCTGCTGTAGTGGTCCTGGTGCAAGGAGTGCCCTAGCGCCACCCCAGTGTAAGTAGTCAAGCCTTTTTCTAATGGCTTGACTTTCATTCCTGGGTCTGCTGGACAGTGGTCACCAAAGAGAGCCAGAAGCTCTCTGAACTGCGCTAAGCTTGACAGTGCACGTCATAGCTCATAGGCTGAATGTGATGGTGCTTGGAGTGTTC